GCCATTCTGAGTCTATCTTAAGCCGTGTGGAAGCAAAGGAGGAAAAGTTCCCAAGCCCACTGCATTCACACTGTATTTAACCAGCTGGCCTTTCTCAGATACCAACTTTAAAAAGCACTTGACAAGAAGGGGAAGGGAAAACAAACTCAGGATTCAAGAAACAAAGTACCTGGGAGAAGAGGTAGGAAAGGTGTATGTACATCACCTGGTGACTTAGTAGGTTCGGGGCCTCCTGGCACATTCCACGTTGTAATAGCTTACGAGCTACAGGGACACTGATTATAAAACTACCTGAGAAAAAGGTCTCTTCAATTATACGTATTTCTGTTAGCCTTACGCATGAGTAAGAATTATAATACTAGGAACAACACTGCATCTCCTTGAGGAAACCTTTTAATTGTTTTGGGAAAAAATACAACTAATTGAAGACAGATTTATAAAGTTATCTGGTAGGACTGGGACCAAGTCCAAGGGTCTTTGATCCTTCTACTGCATTAGCAAAGTTTTCCCATACTGAAACATTAGAGAATTTCTATTTCCAATCCAACGCTATCAATGGACATTTAATATTTTGGGCAACCATTTAGAAAAGTTATCACACACCAGGTTGTTTCTAACACATATGGTATGGTATCAACTTTTCAGTTCTTGTTCTCTGATCTTCTCTATTTCTAATCTTTCTAAAGCCACATATTAGGCTATTAATATTAAAAAGAGTTCTGAAGGAAGAAAACCAGCCTCAAGCCCCTTGGCAAACAGCCGCCTCCAAACACACCATTTGTTGTAACTATAGTTACAACAAAGTTGTAAGTTAAAGAGTTTACTTAAGGTCAGATTGCAACATTATAAAATGAACTCACACATTTTTCTGAAAAGCACATTACCAAGTAAAAAACTGTAACCCAGAAAAAGTCACCAATAACTCAAACATTTCAGGAGGCTTATTAAATAAAAACCTAACTTTACACAGTCATGTAAGCAGCAGAGATCCTTATAACGAATGGGCAGAATACACTACAGCTGATAGGGAATTATAAAACTAAATTAGAAACCTAAATCTCATTTGCTATAAAAACAAACAGCGCTCTGTTCTTTAAAAGGAAGTTCCTAAGATAATGCAATGAATCGCCCTTCTGCAGTCAATTTCTGATGCTTAATCCTTTCTATGTTTCTATTAGCTAATTATACACACATCACACATTTCAGCATTTTGCGAAAAAGTGGGTACCATTAACATCGCCTCTCACAGCTTTATGAAGTTAAATTACTCAAAACTACCCTTTCTCCATATAGTGGACACCTAGGTAAGAGCTAAAATTCCACGGCACATTTCAAGAAAGGTTAGGGAAGGTATTAACTTCTTTCTCTTAAACAAATGCATTCCAAGATTCAAAGTTGTACACCAGTGATGACCCCACCTGAATTTGACAAGAACAGATACTACCGTGGCTTGCCAAAGCACTGCGCTTACATCTACACAGAGCATCTCTACCTGTCATTTTACCTTCATTCATGGCGTTAGCTTTCTTCATACCTGCTCTTACAGTGCTGTGTCTTAGATCTGCAACAAAAACAGTGCTGACAACCCACTGATGTTTTAGCTACTGCTAAACAGTGCTGCATAGCATCAAGGCCTTCTGTGTTTCTTACTCTGTGCCCTCCCCCTGCAGGGAATAAAGCTGGGACAAGACACAACCAGGTAGATGACCCAAACTAACCAAAGAGATTCTCCACGTCATATAATGCCATGCTCAGCAATAAAATAGTGAAGGAGTGCTTCCTCTGTCACTCTAATGGAATAAGCAGTGCTCTCTGAACAGAAGAACTTGAACTTCAGATAAAATAGTAATGTAAGGCTCTCAGGAGCCCAGTTTGTAGCAGAGACAAGAGTTAATTTACTGTAGTGTCAATACACTTGGTGAAACTGTATGACATGGCAGCTCTTTTTCCAAAGGGTTGGTAATATTGATTGTGAAATAGAAACAAACATTTTTGCACTGAGCATCAAAGTCAACAAAACAAAACCTGGGTCTGAGGCTGGGTATTTTATATAAACAAGCCCCACTTTCTTCTAGACAGCACCTCTCTCTCACCTTTATGAACTGCTAAACCTTGAGAATCCATCTTTTCTTCTCCTTCATAGAGCATCACAAGTTTGCCTGTGAGGCAGCGAAGAAAGGTATCCTGGTTGGCATAATTTTCATTGTTCAAGTTAGATTTCCCCCCCGCCCCAAGCTGAGGTTTTCAAATAAGCTTCCAAGCCTTACAACTGAAAAAAAAAATTTAGAATAGAGTCACAAGTGGTTCTTATGCCCTAATTACAGTGCTTTTTCAATTTCTCACCATCAGAGGACATGCATATAAGGGAAAGGAGAACGTCTGTGACTGAGTGTGATATTGTTAACAAGAGAATTTAATTGAGAAACATTTTTGCATCTCGCATTAGGTGTGACTCTTAGCTATGAGATATGTTCATGGGTGACAGGAAAATTATGCCTTACGTCTGTAGAGATGTGTAAATGCCTCATTAAGTTTAATAATTATCTGTTAGGAAGGCAGCTCCACAAGAAAATCTCTGCTACTGAAAAACAGAAGTGACACAATGAAACAACACTGTAACTGCATCATCACTGACCTTGCTGAATTAATACACCTGTCCAGAAATATTTTTATAAATACATTAATAATAAATGTTATATTGTAAAAAATGCATGAATGGGTTACATCATGAAAAGGTTATCCATGAAATTAGGACACAGACTATGTTTTTAGATTTTATCTCAATTCAACCTGAATTTGTATGTTAATTCATATATGACACAGGCAGAAAGCAGAAGGTAGAAGAGAAAGGGCATTGCTATGGAACATGACACACAAAATGAAACTTTTTAAGAACTTCTTTTCAATCAAAAAACTACAAGTATCATCCTTGTCTGTGAAAAGTCAATAGTATATGACTGATTCCACAATGTTCTCTATAGCTATAAAAACAAATCAAAAAACCCCAACAGCTTCCTGGATGTGGCAGAAGGCAAATCATCCCAACAATAAAAAGCTCTCACAGAAAACTATACTATCCCGGTTACATTGACAGCTCAGTTTTACAGCTAAACAAAGATTATACAAATCTGGGAAATCAAAACACAACATTATCAACATCTGCTCACAATGAGAAGGTGGTTAGACAAACAAAGCACAACCTTCATACTAGCCAATTGACACATACCCTTAAACAAAAAATTAACCAGTTTATTATATTTAACATATTTACAAAATAGTACAAACTAAAGTACTGTAATCCGATTTTTGCATGACAACAAAACCTCCATACAGGCAAAAGCAGCACATGAAAGAGACACCCCAGAATATTTAGGAAGTCTTTGGTACTCAAAATAGTTTAAGATGCAGCATTAACTCAATCAATACAAGGCATTAAACACAGACAATGACACGCAGATTTATGCCACAAAAGTAAGTTTAGCTATGGCTTTCATTTTTCTCAAAGGCTGATTACTGGACTCAGGAACTGCTTAAAAGCTTTACAGCAACTTTAGGATAGACAGACTACTCAAATTTATTCTAAAACCAAGCTGTTGAAAATGACCGATGTACTTCTCAACTCGTATTGAATTAAACTGCCTCTTCTCAGAACTATATGACAGCAAAGCACTAAACACTTCACAGGCCTAGAGCCTGTTCCTCTACCCCTTGAGCAGGCAAAACTGTGAAAGAATCAACTTTGTCTACTTAAGGAATATTGGATCAGGCTCACAATAGACAATAAAACCACATGGCAAAACATCATCAGAGACAGCATACCCTAGTCTACACTGCTGTACATCATTTACAAATTATGCTTTATTCATATTTATATGTCTACATATTTACAAATGCTCTCAATTGTTTCATCAAGTAATGTACTCAACACAATCACAGTTTACATAATTCTGAGGTAAATCCCTGAAAAGTTAGAGCATCAGCAGTTTCATCTGCAAGGCTGAATCTCACAAGTGGAGGATTTCTAATTAGAAGATGCTCTCTTTCACCTGGTCACACAGCAGTGTATGCTAGGTGTAGCAGATCAGTAAGATGGCTGCAGAGGAGAGAAGGATTATTGTGAATCCTCTGTGCTGTACCTGGTTCTTCCTGATGGCCAGAAGGAGGCCAGAAAGAATCTGAAATATGTACTAGCAAGTTCTGCTCTGTGGATGAGCAGTAGATATTGTTGCTTGTAGAGTGGGAAACACTGCAGCGTTAAATTGTGCAGTGTCTACGAACACTAATGGCAAGATGCCTATGTGAAAAGGGGACAGGGAAAAGCAAAAGACTGGATGTGGGACAGGATGAATTAACTGTCCTGACTGGACAACGTTACCCCTAGAAAGAAAATGCATTTAAGAGTTCTATTTTCTTATATGTTTTCAAGCCAGGTTAGACATCATCTAAATATTCAAAACTGCACATCTGAGAACATCACCCTTATTTATGTTAGCTTCTAACTACAGCACTTCTGATCGTCCATAAATATATTCAAACACTCCTTCACCAAAGGGCAGACACTACTTTACAAGGCCTGATGTTTCAAGCTAGCTAACCTAGACACACTTTTCCCCGTGGATGTTTGTTAACACTGCAACACCACCAGTCACTCACTGAACTGCCATTAACGTTCCAGGGAACAAGAGAGGAAAGGCTAGAAAGAAGTCTTCAAGTTCACTTTGCATTACCTTATAAGAGCACAAAAGGTGATAGAAACTCGTAACTAAGAAAAGACAGGTTAGAGTTGGAAGCAAAGTTCTTCTGAATCAATCAGGGTTAAGATAAACAGTTTTGTCCTTGAGAAGTGACATCATCTTGTATTATTATAGTCTCCTACAGAATAGGTCTACAATATTTTCTTAATATTAATGCTGAAAATTTTAAAACTCATCTTGTCATGACTATCCTCAGTTGCACTTTTATGGTCAGCTGCTTAAATGAAAAAACCTCACACAAAAAGACTTGGGATGACAAAGAAAGGATCCCACAATTCCATTTTGTGGACGCTTTTTCAAGCAATGCCACATCACGACACCTTTTTAAAATGTTGTCTTTAAACAAATTGTTAGAAGATTTGTTAGGCAGGACCTCAAAGTAGTCAGTTAACTAATTATATATGCAAGAATGCTACTCATGTTTACTATATATTTCCTTCAGAATGTTTTTGTGAGTGTAAAACTGTTTGTAAGGTGATAAGTAGTTTGATGTTTCAAGACAAGACTACTGACTATACTTTATGCCCACTGGAATGACTGAACTCTGTTTTCTGCATGCAGTGATAAGGAATAATAAGCCTTCATCTCCTTATACCATCACAGATGTTAGCTAGAAGAAAAGAGACTTATTAAATAGCCAGTCATAGCTAGTATTCATGGTATAGTACAGGGTGAAATGAAAAGAAGCATGAAGAAATTTGTTTTCCAGAGATCTTCTGGGAGGGTGAGGGTTGGACTTTGTACTGATCCCCAGTGATGACAAACTGGCACGTTGTTTCTTGCACAGCTCTGGGCAAGGTAATCAATCTGTCAGCACAAACTTCGGTATAAATCCCAACATTAAGACTGGAAAGTTCAGACAGACGAAAATGCTGCTGTATAAATACTTAACAAGACCAATAACACTTTGAAGATACTAAATTTTTACAATCCCTGAAACTGCTGCTCAGCAGAGGAAAGTTTTTAATTCATTCGTCCTCTTCAACATAAGTTGATGGAAACCAGCCCACCTAAAAAGGGGAAAAGCAGAACAAAATAATACATGAGATGCACAGGGTTTTTTGAAATGGCCAAACTAGGCAAAACAAGGATAGGTCTGTTCAGTAATATAAGAATAAGATTACAAAGATAAACTTGACTGACCTGCCACAGTTAGGCTAAGTACCCTAAATAAAAGAACAACTTGCAGATATGATGATTTGGAGACGAAATCCCTCCTTCCCCACCCCCCAAAAAACCACAAAAAACAACTTTTGCCCAAACTGGAGGTCTAAGCATTCAGAAAAAAAGTCTAGAAATGCCAAGAGCAGTAGTTTTACTACAGGCAGGATGCTGCTATTTTTTGAATGAGCAGTGAAATATTTAACAGGCTTCAGTCAGGTCCAGGGAATCCTCTTACAAAGGAAATAGCAACTGATTTGATTGCATTACATGAAGTTAAATTCCATTGCCGCAAACAGGAGTTTTCAATAAGACAGAACTTGAAGGCAGAGTCCAGTGTTTTACACTTCATAAGTTATAATGCTATTATGCTGTTCTGAAATTAATGATGTGTCAAATGAGTATTACGTAAGATGTACAGGGAAGCAATGTCATATTTCTTATTGTCTTATCTATTCGCTTTAGGTTGTTCACTCAGACTTCTTTACACCTAAGTCAATTTAACATTCATGAATGACCTCAAAACCAAACCTAGAGCATATTTGGAAGGAGTAACTGCATAAATTTTGGTTTAGACTACCCTGCCAAAATATCTTCAGAGGTGAGCTTATGATCTCAGGTCCAGGCTGTGAAAGCTATCAGAAAGAATGCTAGCATATAACAGGGCATCCTTTAGGATGTGGATAGCTGCATTCGAATAAGATGCTCAGTTTTCTTCACATGTAAAATGTATATAGGATGACCGCTACTTCTTCTGCTTCGCTATTTCTTCTTGTCTAATTGACCATTTCACTTTAAGATCATAACCAGGCTCATGTGCATAAAAAAAAAGTTCTCCAGATTGCATATAGCAGTAAATCTGGATATCTACTACAACCAGACTTGCAACTTTCATTTCCAGCTTCCAGCCAATCTACTTTCTTCCACCTCACATTCCTTGACCCTGCATCTCAGCCTTTTAGACATGGAAGAGCAGCCTCAAATGCTTGTGACTAACCTGCATTAAAGAGCAATATACTAAGATTGAAACAATATAGCCTTTATAGGTCAAAAATGAAACTTTACTTCCATACAAGTCTCAGAGTGCAGTATACAGTGACTTTGTAAAAATTCCTGCTAAATATGCCACTACATATAAGCCACATTTTTAGAGATAAAAGAAGCAGCCTCCTATTAAAAAACATGGCTGATTCCATTGCATTGTAGTCTGGCAGAAAGGTGTGGAAACCATTCGGTGTTAAACTGCTATACAGACTTCCATAGCACCAGGAAACTGAGCTTTTGACCCCAAATACATGTATGCAACACAGTTCAAGAAAGTTCAGCGGTAGCTATACTATTAAACCTGGTTATTTTCCAACCATATAATCTTGCCCCAATATTCAGCCTGGCAGGTCACATTAAATAACAAATTCCTTTAGATGCTGGGAAAGCTGCCTGGCAAAAGTTCTGCCTGGCTCCTATGAAACAATGATGAGAACATGTTGTACCTTGTGAATTTAAATGTACAAAGAAGGAATGTAGGAACACAACTTACATATTTTTTTTTTTTTACAAAATCACTGTCAGTGAAGGCAGAAATGAGACAAAGGAGAAAAAAACCCACAACCTTACCCTTCCATTTACTTCACCTCTCCACCAGCCATTCGCACTCATCTTTGTATAAATTTTTACAACATCCCCTTTCAATAAGGACAGTTCTCTCATGTCTCTTGCACAGAAGTCATACCTGGCTATGGCAATGCCAATCACCTTCGGGCTTAGCACTGAAATGAAACAGACATTGGTATTATTAGGGTTTGTTAATTGAAGGCTACTAAAGTAATGTAAACACCAGTACTGCAAACTATAAAACAATGATTTCACAACAACATACACTGGCATTAATTTTATGCAAATATGAAAGCATCTGCACTACACAGATCAAGAAGGTTTAAACACAGGTGAATAGTGTAAAAGTTGAAGGGAATTTATGTGATTTTTTTAGTAGTTCTTTTTATTTTTAGAAAAAAGTCAAACTAGATAAACCATAAATAAAATATGCCCCACCCCAAAATTGCTAAATACATTTGCAATTGTTGTATTTTTGTGCTTCATAATAAAACTTGCTGCCAGTTACATACATCAACATATTTTACAGGTCACTAGTTCCTTTCCAAAAGAATTATTAGCATTTACGGTTGACTTAACTTTAAACCTCTAATGAAGCAAAACAAATAGAATAAGGTGCTGTTCTTTCAAAAACAACTCCCAAGTTAAATATTAATGCACTTAAAATTGGAAGCTAACATCAGCATGAGCAAGAAAGTAAAGCGTTTCCACAGGAAATTTGTATGGATCATTTGTTACAATCTGCATGAACATTGCTTGATGTAAATCTACTCTTTTCAGGAGTGTATTCTGTAAATCACCAAGAAATTTGTTCTACAAAACTTTTAATGAAGAAAAAAAAAATCTTTTCCTAAGTTTCAGTGAAATTAATATTTACAAATTTTAAGCTACATCAACATGTAAGCATTTTGTCAATGTAAAGCCCAGAAATTTTAAGGAGTAAAAAGTTGTGAAATATTTTTAAAAAGCAAATGTGCAAAAGGTCTCATTTCAAAACCTAACCCCCTCCTCCCAAATAATTTTATAGGAAATTATGTTTCCAACCCTGATGTAGGATGCCCAAACTTGCAAAAGAAATGCCTAAGTCTTCCAATGAGAGGAAAGTGGACATGGCACTTAAGAGATAAAGGCCTCTGACTTGAGCAGTTTAAAAAAAAAAACCCTACTACTCTATTGCATTTTGTAGTTGGATTATTTGGCCAAAGCATTCTTTTTAAATTTTTTTTCCATTAATGTCATTTTTTTCCTATGTAAGTCACTGTAGATAGGCATTGTCCTTGCTTCAGCTGGGATAGAGTTAATTTTTCTGGATTTGGGATGAAAAAAAAATGTCAACAACATGCTGACGTTTTCAGTTGTTGCTAAGCAGTCAAGGACTGCCCAGCTTTTCATGCTGGCCTGCCAGTGAGAAGTGGGGTATGCACAAGAAGCTGGGAGGGGACACAGCCAGGACAGCTGACCCCAGCTGGCCAGAGGAATATTCCAGACCATGGGATGGCAGGCTCGGGATATAAAGCTGGGACAAAGAAGGAAGGAAGGGGTGGAGGAGGGACATTCGGAGTTACGGCATTTTGTCTTCCCAAGTAACCATTACGCGTGATGGAGCCCTGCTTCCCTGGAGATGGCTGAACCCCTGCCTGCCACGGGGAAGTGGTGAATGAATTCCTTGTTTTGCTTTGCTTGTGTGTGCAACATTTGCTCTACCTGTTAAACTGTCTTTATCTCAACCCACAAGTTTCCTCACTTATATTCTAATGATTCTCTCCCCCATCCCACCGTGGGGGAGTGAGCGAGTGGCTGCATGGTGCTTAGTTGCTGGCTGGGGTTAAACCATGACAGCTTTTATAAGCACAAGCAAGCTTCCTACTGAAAAGGTTTCAGAAGAATTCATCATATGATCATGATGGACAACTTGCTGTAATGTACATACATTAATCATCTTTTTTTCTCAGAACCCTTTATCAGAAATTCCCAATTATCTTTAGGAAATACCATTAAGACTCTAGTTTTAGTAATGCCTTCAACAATCTAATACTAAAAGTTTATAGCTAGTTGCCTTTAATTTAAATCAGGACCACAAAACATGGCAAATGAGCTAGAAAATCTTGACAGTTTCAACTCTGCTTGTATTTAAGTTTTCCTCTGACCCCACTGGGGACATTTCATAGAAACAGAGGCTTTTAAATAATAGTATTAAATATATGAAATATATGAAAATCATTCTATATTCAAATATTTTTAGCTTACAGAGACAATACAAACATTTTATCTTAAAATAACAACAAATACTATGTTTAAAATATTATTAGAAACATCACAAAAATGGAATGCCTAAAAACCTGTTTTGGCAACAGACTATGCCCTCTTTTATGTTATGCCATTAAAGTTCAGGCCAACATTTCAGACTGCTTATGCAGAGTATACTCATCAGATACTTGATACAGGATGTACAGAACGCCATATAAAAGAAAATCAGCATCTCAATTTATCATTTATATATACAATATAAAGATGTCATAAAAATCTAGGTGATATATTAAGTATATTAAAGTTCAAACATACTTTTTCCCCTCTAAGGAAATCAGATGTAGGCACTACTTGTTTAGATCCTGACATGAATGTTATGTCCTATACCTTATCAGCACTGCAGTTATCAGTTTTAC